TCTCTGTCCTCCCCAATGCTTTTGAGTCTCTATTTTCTGTCTTGCAAATATTGTCCCTCCCTGTTTCTCCTTGTCCCCTATGCTTTTCTGTCTCCATTTCCCTTCTCACTCACATTGTCCCTCCTTGTCCACCTCAGTGCTTTTGTATCTCTGTTTCCTGTTTTCCTCACACTGTTCCTACTGTCCACCCCACAGGCCGCCTTAGCTGAGAGTAACCTCCCCCTCTTGGGGAGCCCCAACTTTATGAGTGGCAGCTCCACTGGTCTGCTCCAGGCAGCGCACGAGGACCTCAACGGTTCGCTGGATCACTTGGACAGCAATGGGCACAGCAGCCCCTGCTACTCTCCACACGCACTCATGTGAGTGAAGCTCTGGGCCTCCCCATCCCCACAGCGCAACACATAATGTCTTATTTGGTTTACTTTGTTCACCATGCATCAGCTGGCCATGGCACCTGTCTGTTGATTACATTTGTAACACTTATGTCATTTTCACTTTTACTGGTAGGAAAATTGGCCAGTTAAGGTCTGTAGGGTAATATGTGGATCTAAAAATACATCCATTAAAAGGAAACCTATTGTTTCAGACTAACCTATAATCAGGGGTCATTACAGATTTACTTTTAATTACTCTGATGTCAGCATTGTGGGGGTCTGGATGTTATATTTTATGTAAGACTGTTCCTATTAATATTTAGCATCCAACTGTGTCATTAATTACTTTTAAAATCTTTGCCGTTCCATCTTTTTTAATGGAGTGGAGATAGGAAGACTATTAAAAATTGATGCCTTGTGGGTTTTAGAGACGTGTTTGTAGGGAATGTCAGATTCAGACATGCTGGTGGTCTGTGTTTACCACCCTGAGGAAGATGGCCATGGGTGTTCACTAGATTACAGCCTTTCTCTCTGGGCCCAGATGGCGATAGTCCAGTGGTGAAATTTACATAGACTCGGCCTGAACAGATGAATTTGGCTGGGCTACACATCCTGTACTGCTTGCTTCTAATGCACTGATTTTCACTTATGTCTCTTGATGACCTGCTGATGACCCATCCATATAAAATTCCTCACCCAGGTGACCCAGTTATGTATATGACTCATGTAGGAGTCTCACACAGAACATGTCCTTGAATATCTTTAAAGACTAAATAAAGCTGCTTCCAGTTCGCTTAATAGGACACTCTGTTGCAGCACGTGCAGGTCACGGTGACCGAGCCGCACTCTGCTTTAGCGCGTATGCTAATCCGACACGCTGGAATGAAGGAGGATTCAGAGGCTCTGCACAGCATCGGCAGTATCGCAGACTTAAGCCTGATGTATCTAAATCTGTCTAGTTGTTTAACTAGGCTCATAAATGAACCAAATTTCGAATCACAGCAGAGGCTGCAACCAGATAACCAGGTTATTACAACGCACACATCTACAGATGGATTATTGTCTAGTATTAGTGCAATGGGCTGGAAATCATTTATGTTAACTATTTTACAATATATTCTGTGACCCTATTTCAATGCCCTAGTGAACTGGGTCTAAATATTTATCATGCTAATAATATTCTGTGACTGTCACAGTCAACTAGGGAGATTATTATTATTATTATTATTATTATCATCATTATTATTATTATTATTATTATTATTATCTGCAATGGGTTGGCACCGTGTACTTGACTTGAGTACATACCCACGCAACCTTGCATAGGACAAGCAGGTATAGAAGATGGATGGATATAATAATAATAAATAATTATTTGCCCCATATTGGGTGAATTGGTGGATGGATTATTACTATATGTAAAGCATCCCTCATGTTTTTGTTCTCATTGCCGTCATTCATGTTCCTCTTCTCATTTTCACTGACATGACATCATTGCAGCTGCAGGAGTTCAGGCACTCACAACGCTCAGCCCACTTTGCCTTCACAGAATTGCCCCCTTCGCAGTTTCTCCGATAGTCGCAGGAGTTCAGGCACTCACAACGCTCAGCCCACTTTGCCTTCACAGAATTCCCCCTCTCGCAGTTTCTCCGATAGTCGCAGATGTTCAGGCATTCACAACGCTCAGCCCACTTTGCCTTCACATATTCTCAGCACGTCCATCACCCATAGCTGTCCTGCCCCGTAAAGTGGCATTTTGAAATTTGTAGCATTTATTTTTGTAATGCTTGATACTTGTTAGACACCCCATTATCTTACTGTAGGAACTAATTTATACCTATTTTTCTAGTTTGTGGTTTACACATACACAACTGAAAATGAGACGTCCGGCTATAGGGTTTACATTTGGCTCGGTGACGTAGCCCCACCAAAAGGAACGTCATTCTCTCCACCGTCTATCTGTGAAGCTCCTGCCAAGGACTTTAGCTGTATTTTAGAGTCATATTGTTAAGAAGGCCAAATTGAAATTAATTAATGTCATTAACAACTGAACCAATGGTTATTCACTTTCTCACGCTGCGGAATTGTGGGTAATCGTCTCCCATGCTCGGTCTCAGTCGGCATGCCTCACTAGTATAGTCAAAATTTAGTAGAAAAGCACCACCTGAATAAGGGCATAGCAGTGCGAGCGATGAATCTGTTTAACGACAATGCAATGGCCACATTTTTGCGAAATCGAAAAGGAGGCAAAAGAGGCTGTCATTGGATGGGTTCCTTGTTAAAGTCGCACAAACAGAAAAAGATTCCAGTGAGCCAACAGATAGCAGTGATTCCGTTAATTATAGTGAAAGTCGCCCTACAAAATAACCCTCCTCTTCTCTCTCGTCTCCCTCACACCATCCACGATTCTTTTCAAAGGTAAAGTGCAGGTTAATTTGTGTTATGTATGTTTACTTTATATTTTGTATTAATAATTTTTATATGAATATTTTTGAGTTGTGGAACGGACCATATGAGTTTCCATTATTTCTAATGGGAAAATTTGCTTTGATATACGAGTACTTTGGATTACAAGCATGTTTCCGGAACGAATTATGCTCGTAAAACAAGGTACCACTGTATTTGTATTTAACTATCGCCTTACAGTCATATTTAATTACCGTCATGTTAAGTGTTGTTTGTTCAGCGGCATTAAGAATTCCCTTTTATCACCCACTTCCTGTCTTGCGTTGTCATGTTTAGTAGATACTCAAACCCTCATAACCCGCGTATATTGACAGCTGGCTCGGGGTTCCTTGCCGTTACGAGCCTGATATCCATTTGTTGCGACGTATGTGATAGTATCTGCCAGATGCGCCAGGCTCAGTGATTAATGGCTCGACCTCGCTGCTCATACTCCTCCTGAGGAGGAACTCAGCAGCCCTGAATAATAACTAGCTTGCGGTTGCTCTTAACGAGAAGAGTGAAAAATAGCGGACTCTGGCTTCAAGCTTCAGGGGGTGAGGGGACAAGAAATCCTTCTTTTGTCTTTTTCTCTTAGTACCAGTTCTTCACAGTTTCTCAGTCCACTCCACAAACATTAGCTTCTGTCAACTGGATGCATATTATCTGCATTCTGAAGTTGAGCTGCTGATCTCCATTGACCGAGCTACCAGGCTCCCAAGGACAAACACATATGTGTGGATTTATTCTTTAAACTGAATGAATGACATCAAGCAGTACCTGAGTTTTGGGGACACTGACTATAAGTAGTTTACCATTATTCGTTTCCTTAGGAGACACATTTATCCTTCATGGGCTAAATTATATACAGCTGAATTTTGAGAACATGTATCAGGACTGAGTGTCTAACTCCAGGATTTCAGCTACAACCTACTCTGGATCCAAGTAGCTCAGTGCATCAGTGAACATAGAGATGGAGAATGCAGCTGTTCCTCTGTGTTACCTGCATGTGGCGTTTCTGATTGCTTTTCTCCAGTGGCAGTGGCATTAAACTTTGTAAGCAAACATTTCAGTCATGTCATTGAAAGGTAGTGAGAGGTTAATCCTCCATCATGGAGGCAAGAGCTTCTCACGTGGCCCAGAACATTCAGTATAGCTCATGAACACATCCAGCTGCTCGGCCGTCAACCACTGACAGCGGAGCTGGAGGCTTATGGTGTCCAGCGGAGACGTAAATGTGACACACGCGTGAGCTGGAGGGCCGTGGTGTCCGGCGGAGACGTAAAGGTGACACTCGCGTGAGCTGGAGGGCCGTGGTGTCCGGCGGAGACGTAAAGGTGACACACGCGTGAGCTGGAGGGCCGTGGTGTCCGGCGGAGATGTAAATGTGACACACGTGAGCTTGAGGGCCGTGGTGTACAGTGGAGATGTAAATGTGACACAAGCGTGAGCTGGTGGGTCGTGGTGTCCGGCGGAGACGTAAATGTGACACACGCGTGAGCTGGAGGGCCGTGGTGTCCGGCGGAGACGTAAATGTGACACACGCGTGAGCTGGAGGGCCGTGGTGTCCGGCGGAGATGTAAATGTGACACACGTGAGCTTGAGGGCCGTGGTGTACAGTGGAGATGTANGACACACGTGAGCTTGAGGGCCGTGGTGTACAGTGGAGATGTAAATGTGACACAAGCGTGAGCTGGTGGGTCGTGGTGTCCGGCGGAGACGTAAAGGTGACACACGCGTGAGCTGGAGGGCCGTGGTATACAGTGGAGATGTAAATGTGACACAAGCGTGAGCTGGTGGGTCGTGGTGTTCAGAGGGGGCGTAAATGTGACACGTGTGTTGTTTATTTCAGGCAAGCAATTCACGTCAAGGAAGAGCCGCTGAGCATGGATGACGAGGACTGTCCGTTGTCCCTAGTAACAACCGCCAATCACAGTCCGGACTTGGATGATGACAGAGACCTGGAAGAAGGGAACTTTTCGGAAGACCTGGTATAAAAAACAGCCCCCCAGACTGAGGCCAATACTCCGGCCCGCGACTCCCCCAATCCCTCAGACTACAATCATTTACGGCCAATTTTCTTGTGGATTGTTTATTCAGCATGCAGCACGGATACAGTCTAAAGAAATGGCTGTCAGTGCTCTTTGGGATGCAGAGAATGGCAGGCATTAAACGCTCCTCCCTTTTCTTTGTTTTTCTAACCCAACAAATACTTCATGAACTCACCTTGTGAACTGGGCCGTCGAACACAAGGAAAAAAAAAGAGTCCGTTTTTGGAAAACGTGGAAGCCAGTTCTGCGGAATGTTAGTTGCCTCCCTCACTGCCAAAAATTAGTTCTGGTTAAATCCAGTGGGAATTTCACGCCTGCAGAAATTACCACACGTTAATGGAATCCAGTTACCAGTCACTGCAAACTGTTGGCGATCTATCAGTTGCACAGGAGTAGTATCAGAAATTAGTGACACTGCCTATATGTTAACATTATAAAACCAGATGTTTTTTTAATTACTAGGAACTTCACGGAATTATAATTTTGGCTCAACCCAACTGTAAATGACATCTGATACCCAAACATAACCATAGTGAAGAGTAGGTTTACTTTTCTTTTTTAGCGCGGATATGTGTTTGATATGAAACTGAAATGAAAGCGCTAGATGCACTTCTGCATGCTCTGCAGCTGTCTTCATTACCTCTTCTTGCTCTGAAGCTTTGTCTACCTGAAAACAAAGGCAACAGCTAGAAACCAAACGCCGCCAGTGTCCGGGCACTCAGTCAGGAGCTGCCATTCTGTAGCTTTAATTAGCACAAAGGAAGCTTTCCATCCACCGTTTTAAGAACCTCTGGGATCGTTTTGTTTAGCCCTGTGCAAAGTCAACAGAGACGAATGTTTGATTTAATGACTAGTTGTCTACCTACATAGAGTCTAGAAGGGGCTCTGACTCCATCTTAAGACCAGGGGAGGGAGTGGGTGGATATCAGCAGGGATCAGCCATTTGTGGATCAGGAGGTGCACCAACCAAAATGACCTTTGACCTCTGTATATCATAGGAAGTGCAGTTTTTTAAGTAATCATTGTTACAATCCTCTTTCTCGTTGCTGTCTAATTTGCATTTCTCACGATGCTCATTTCTAGTGAACACTCACCCTAGTGTTAGCATAACTACTCTGTACCTTTGTTTTTCCACATGGTTTGCTTACAGCTGCATAGAATGAATCTGAAAACATGGTAACCAAACATAAAGGTCTAGTAAAGCCAAATGAACAATAATAATAATTTATTAATCAATATGTAATAACTTATCTGGCTTGGCTGTCAAGTGAGGACAAAAGATTCACAGCCATTGAGAACATTGCATTCGTGATGAAATTATCTTTTTTATGGGTGACATTTGCTATATAATATGTAATTCATTTTGTGAGTATTCATCCATAGCTGTGTAGATATAGCTAGTAAAATAGCTACAGACAGATTAAAACTTCTTAACTTTATCTTGTGATTTTTTAATAAGTTAAAATGTATGGAAATAAGGCAGATTTCTGCATGGATTTATTCCGTTTCGCCAGTGTTATCTATAAAAGGGAATGTGGTTGTTTTAATTGTCATTTCTGTTTTTAGTCAAACCAAAGCTACACAAAGTTCTGCCTTTTCTCTTGCAGCATTGTAAAACTAAAAATACCCCCCCCTCACCAAGACTTGAACACCGTCCAATATCTTGGGCACTTGGACTCCCGTGATTTTGCTAAGACCACTAATGGATGAAAAGAAAATGAACTTTCTGTTAAGCAAAAGAAAAAGAATAGTAAGTAGTATTTGACAGCACTAATTGTACATATGATAGCCGCTATTATTGTGCTGCGTCGACAAAAATGCTTCCCTTTGCCGCCTGAACCAAGGCAGCTCATAACCTGATTGTGTTTTATTGCTTTGCCGACATTTTCAGACTGAGCATCGCTGCTACACGAGAGTGCGCACTTACACACACACACACACACACGTACACACACACACACACACACACACATACACATGGAGACACACACACGTACACACACACACACACGGAGACACACACACACACACACACGTACACACACACACACACACACACACACACACATGGAGACACACACACGTACACACACACACATACACATGGAGACACACACACACACACACACACACATATGGACACACACACACACACACATATGGACACACACACATGCACTGGGACCCGCCTCAAAGCAGCTTGGCTCACAGATGAATTCTAAGGGTTAGAGTCCCGTAGGTAGGATGGAAAGATGCGGCCTTCTGGCAGGACCAATGCGACGGTCTGGTGTCTCTCAGAAAGGCCTCCCCAGCCCACCCTCAGCCAGGCTCTGCCCAGCAAATTCACAATCATTACATCCACCAACATGGGACACACCAGAGCTGCAGGAACCGGTGTGAAAATTACATCCTCAGCGTCGGAAACAGTTTCAGTCACAGTCAGCCACTTATATGAGAATTATTAAAACACAGATATAGTGTAGGGGAGCCATGCTTACACAGGCAACACGCCTGTATTTCCAACACGGAAATATGTTGGTAGTCTAATAATGAGATGAGTTAATAAGAGGATAGAAGGAAGCCAAGCTCACCCAGACACTGACACCTTAGTGCTGACGATTTTGGGGGGTGAAATGCCACAATAGCGATAACCTCTAGGTTTTGCATAGGTCTTATATTTAAAAAAAAAATAAGATTTACTTGAAAAAATGCACAAGAAACTGATAATGGTTTTAAATAGCTACTTGCACACACACATACCACAACAAGAACCTCCTAAACTGCGATCTGGATTTCTGTGAGGATTTTGGTTTGTCTGGATTTATTTAAAAAATGTTCCGTCTGTACTTGGATAATTTGTGCATCTTATAAAATGTCCATGGACCTTATCCCCCCCCTAGAATAAAAAGACCCAGCCCTTCTTTTCATGAGAAGATGTAGCTTTTCTGCATTACAGTCGCATTTTCTCTGCTCCCCTGTCACTGCCAGCAGAGGACAGCCTCCCTGTTTTTTCTGCATCTGCTTTGCGTAGCTGTTGTAGGGCTTTAAACAAATATGTGTATCTATTGCTCGTACCTCTATGTGTACCTTATGATGCAGTATGTCTGGAAATAAATGACTCATTGTATTCTACTGTCATTCAGCTGTGGCTGGCAGCTTCAGCCCCTTGTATACATTCGATTGGAACTCTAGCAAAAATATCCATTTATGTATTTTGTGATTTTTTAATATATATATATTTCATTTAGGTAAACTAATTTTTGATACTTTTCATTACTGTGTACTGTGTCCATACCTTGAATTCTCTGACATGTAGAAGTCATGGTTGAGAATTATTGTAACAACTGTTATTTGTTCTGTATTCATGGCTTTTCACTGCTGAATAAAATAAAGGACCAAAAAGCAGGATGTGAGAAGCAGCAGCTTTCTGCTTCCTCTGTCACAGTTCTGCCCACAAAGCCATGGACTTGGCATCGACCCGCCATGGTCGGCACCGGCTGGGTGTGGCCCCATACATACTGCTGCCCTCTGCCTGAGCTACTGGCATGTCAGAGTCCTTCTCAGACAGAGAGCCCTGGATTCCCTCACCTGCTCCATGTTTCTGTAGCACTCTTGACCTTTGATGGAAAGTATTTTTGTGCCGAGTTACATTACATCATTCTGGTTCTTGGCAGATTCATACGAAGCAACATCTAGTATACGGCATAGAATTTTCACTGATTTATACAGCTGAAAGTCATTGAAATTCTATGTAAATGCATAAATTGAGACCCTTACTCACTTTGCCACCTATTAAGAGGAGAGGTAAGGAGCATGCACTGTTGCAGTGTGTAAAGAGCATGCACTGTTGCAGTGTGTAAGGAGCATGCACTGTTACAGTGCATTGCCACACCCACCACATAACAAACCACCTCAGGGGTGAGAACCTGAGTGCAGCCATGTGGCGGGTGATCCCTCAGCACCACACTAGTATGAATGGACCAGTGTGAGGTTTTCTTTCTGGTGGCTGCAGTGCCAATCCTGCCACCAACCCCCAAGTTATTCCCTATAACTGTATGTAGATTAACATCATACCCAGAACAAAGTAATTGCAGGTTAAGGGCCTTAAGGCAATTGCTCAAGGGCTCAACAGAGTAGAATGATTCTGGGCATTCATGGGATTTGAACCAACAACCTTCTAGTTACTAGCACAGATCCCTAGCCTCAAAGCTACCACTCTATGCCACCTATTAAGCTTTCTGGGAACTAGGCTTGTAACGATGAATCGCGAATCGGTTAAAAATCCATGTAAATGTATGACGATTTAAACTGGCTGCCGTGGAAAATGAATCGCTACTTTAGGAGTACTTCACAGTACTTTAACAGAAAAATGACATTTGATTTCACGACGTCAGTTCAACGTCAGATGTCCCTGCGTATTCACGTTGACGTCGTATGTTAGTTTTTGGTTTTGACCGAACGCGAGATGGCGAGCGAATTTGAAATTGAGGACACGCTGCTGGGCGGCACGGTGCCGCAGTGATTCGCACTGCTGCCTCACAGCAAGAAGGGCTTGGTTTTGGTCCCGGGTCCTTCCTGTGTGGAGTTCGCACGCTGTCCCCGTTTTCACCGGGGGCTCCGGTTTCCTCCCACGGTCCAAAAGCGTGCAGGATAGGTTGATTGGTGAGTCTAAATTGGCCCTGTAGTTGTGTGTGTGTGCACCTTGTGGTGTGTTGGCGACTGCCTGGGCTTGGTTCCCATCTGAGTCCATTGTTCCCGTGATAGGCTCCGGTCCCCCCCCCGCAACCCCACTTGGGATTAAGCGGTTTCAGAAAATGGATGGACGCATTGTCCGATCTTAAATCGGTGGTGTGGCAGCATTATAGCTTTCCGGTAATTACAAATGAAAAAGCACAGACAAGACAAAACTGCATGCAACCATTGTAAAAGACTGATAACATACACAAATAGCATAACAAACATGCTTCAACATGGCCACCGCCAGAGCGAAAATTATTAAAAGGGCAAACCACGCTAAAAAGCTGCACATGCAAGCCTTAGTTTATTTGAAGATTTTTTTTTTATTTACTTATTTTCATTTGGGATTTTTTTAAAACAGTATTTTATTCAATTTCAGTTGCACCGTTAAGAAGAGGACACGTTTTGCACAGTTTAGAAAAATAAATAAAGGAATATTTTTTTATAAATTTGTCTGCAGCTCATTCTGCAAAAAAAAAAATTGTGGATCGTATCGAATCGTGAGTTGAGTGTATCATTACATCCCTACTGGGAACTAAAACATGTCAAGGCATTAGCAGACAAACTACAGGGTCACCTCTGACCTGCTGGAACCAAAGTGGATGATGTTACTTCACTGCCCACGATCGTCCTCCAATCACATAGCCAAGATTTCCTCATATGACCAAGAGAGGTGTATGGGCATTATAAACAAATATTATCTTGTTAGTTCATGTGGTTTTCTGAGAATCCCCCAGAAATAAGCCACTTATTTGCAGCTTCAATAAGGTCTTTTCCTTTTGGGAGTCCCCTTCAAAATTAAGATTCAATTGATATTCAAGTATCGCAATATTATGGTTTTATGAACAATTTTATTATCACAAAAAAACTTTCTGCTGTCATTATGTTAAAGTCAAAATGAGTATTTTATTGCCTGAAATGGGTGTTTTGTTCGAAATTACCATGTAGCTGGTCTGTAAAATGAGTCACTGGAGAATATGTGGCAGAGTAATGCTAATCATCCATTATTATCATGCATATATTGAAAGCATAAGCACTGTAGCAGGTATGGCTGAAAACATCGGCACTGTAGCAGGTATGGCTGAAAGCATCGGCACTGTAGCAGGTATGGCTGAAAGCATCGGCACTGTAGCAGGTATGGCTGAAAGCAT